TTTTTTGGTTTACAATGAATTTTCCTTTTCGATTTTTCAATTATTTCAATTATGATGCATATTATGGAAGCGAAATTTTGAATAAACTTAAGGAAAATTTCTCTCAAAAATTTTTCAAATTATCGATAGTAATTTCAGTTGAAATCATTTTGGAATATATTTATTTCCAGTCACTATCACAACAATTCTACAATATACAGTTTATATTAAATAATCGGAAAAATGTTTATCAGAAATGAAATGATAAGAATTGAATAACAAATATATTAAATAGCCGAAAAAATGTTTATCAGAAATAGAATGATAAGAAATGATAAGAGGGCGATAAAAAAAAAATTAAAATAAAGCGCATTGATAAATGAAAATATATTTTCAAAAAAATTTATTTATTTATTTGCGAGAAATTCGTTTAATACTCTTTTCTATGTCTACGCTTTTTTGAGAAAGTTTCATTTTAAAGATGAAAAAAAAAGGAAATGTGCAAGTTTTTGCAGTCATTCTTTTGAAATGGACTTTTAGAAATGGGTTAAAATAAAATATTTTGCTCGTAACAAATAATCATTTGGGAAGAACAATTGAAGAAAAAAGAAAAGATTAAGTTGAATGAGAGAATAATTTGAAATGAAAAAATTATTATACCTAAATATTTATTTCACCAACACAAGTAATTAAATGGTAGAAAAATAAAAAGATTAATCATTTTATTTATTTTGTAAAAGATTGATTTTAAAAAAAGAAGAACGATGATGAATAACAAAGAAAATGAAATAATTATTAAATGAAATTGAAATAATTAATTATCAAATCTATTATCATTATAATATTCTGTTATTTTATTTATTTTATTTTATTTTATTTATTTATTTATTTTATCTATCTATTTATTTATTTATTTATTTATTTATTTATTTATTTATTTATTTATTTATTTATTTATTTATTTATTCTGCAAGAGATTGATTTAAAAAGAAAAAAGAACAATGACGAATAACAGGAAGTAATTATTAATAATTCTTAAAATAAAATTGAAATAATTAATCATCAAATCTATTACTAATACAAAAATCCTGTTATTTCATTCCAAATGAAATTTTAAGAAGGGTAAGAAGAAAAAAACGAAATTTAGGGAACAGAAAGGAATTATGTTTGTTTTAAATTTCTAGCTCAATGATTTTTATGAAAGAAATGAAATGACTAGCTCATGTGAAATATGGGATGTAATGGAATATGAATGACTGGATACATTTTGTTTTTGAAATCATTTACAAAGTCTAACAGCTTTTTAGGCTCATATTCCCTTCAATCCATTACATAATATGTACGTGCATATGTGTATATATATACGTGCATATGTGTAAATGTACATGCATATGCGTATACGTGTATATGTGTATGTGTACGTGTATGTGTGTATATGCACGTTTATGTGTGTGTGTGTATTCTATACTTACAACGAAACAATAGATCTAGAAAAAAATAAAGCAAACAAAAATGCGCATCCTCACAGATGGCACACTTCATTTCACCAGGCCCATACGTAATATCTTTTTGAGGCACAAACATTCACACGCACATATACACACATACACACACATACACATATATATATATATATGCGAAGGAAGTATTAAGCCTATCGATCGGTTTATTTTCATCTTTTAATGGATAAGGCATTTCCTTAAATATTACATGGAAAAGGCTATATGATATAAACAACTAATGAAAAATAAAGCCTAACAATGATAAAAATATGAATGGGTACAAAATTTTATCAATAAATATGAGTAAAATTTTTGGAATAATTTTATCTAATATAATAAATTAATTAAAATTAAATTTTAATTTGATTAAATCAAATTAAAACAATAAATAAAATTTTAACTTTGTAATTATAAAAGTTAAAAATTTAAATAGCTTTAACTTTAATTGTTTGTTTATTCAATTTTTTGCTAATTAAAAAAAAAATATATTTCATTTAAGCAAAATGATGAAATGTAGTAGTAGTAATCTTCTCAGAATGAAATTTGAAAATGAAATAATTAAATTTGAAATTTCTAAAATAAATATAAGCTTCGATTAACATATTTATATTTCATTTGAAATTTATAGCATTTATTGGAGTTGAAATTTATTCTTATACCATAGACTAAATAATATATCGGTATGAATGAAAAATTATATTACATTATATATTTGACAATGTTGTCGCATTATGTTTAAATTTGATGAATCTTATCTATCGTTATCCGTTATAATGTGATTAGAAAATATCTTAAATACTGATAATTAGTGATAAATATTTTTACTTTAAAATATTGATAATTAGTGATAAGTATTTTTAAAAATAGAAATAATTAATAATTTTTTAATGTAAGTTATTATTTTACGTTATTATTGAATACAATGATTTTAGAAATTATTTGTTCGTTGTAATTTATTTAATTTATATGCTTGTTATTGAAATGGATAAATATTTTAATAATGCACTTTTTTGCATAACTACCAAATTTCTTCTTTTAAATTATAATTTCAAGAATTATATTACTTAGGATATTATGGTTTTGACTTTTAATAAATTCTCTTAATATATCTATTAAAGATATATCCAAGATTATCTTTTACAATTGTTAAAAATTGCTATGAAATCTTACTATCACTGAACTCTATAAATTTTAAGGCTTCTTTTACATCGCTATTTTGTTTTTGAAAAATCAAAAAATTTTCTCTAAAATTGCACATTACTAATTTTATGATTCTCAGGAGAGATTGTAACTTCTTGTTAAAATGATAAAATGCAAACTATTATGAATTGTAGTTGAAGCAAATTGCAATTTTATTAGCCCGTTATTCTACATTTAATTATTTAATTAAGATACACTAATTAGGTATATTTCATATACCTAATTTCTATTACCTTTATTATAAGGTATAATAAGATGTATTAGTATATTGTAAATTATTAGAATTCATATATAGATTTGAATATTTTTTTTATTAGAGTTATTGATTTTCCATCAGGTAAATTAACTCACTGTTTTAATTAATGGAAATAATAATTAAGTTAGAAGGGAAAAAATTTTTCTTTTTTATTTGCAAAAAATATGCAATTACAAATAAAATTGTAATTACTGCTAATTAATTATCTTCTCATCTTTCATTTCAGCTTTTCTTCTGATAATATAATATCAATAATCTGTTTGATAATCTTTCAAAATATTTTTTTTGTCAAATTTCTTACCAACTTTTTTTTAGTAACTATTCAAATAATTTTCTATTGTTTTTATTTTTATTACTATTATTATTTCATATTTCTGATAATGGTAATTTATTTCAATGTAATAGTATCAAATTTGATAGCTATGTAATCAATATGATTTTGCTCCATAACCGATATTCATAATAATAAGATCAAGAAGCAAAGTATAGATATATCATAGTGACATAACTCAGACTCATAGTAACATAACCGATATTCATAATAATATAACTAATAAAGTAGTGACAACTGATAAATGGCTGACAATTAATGATTTCCTATTCTTTTCCCTCTCTCAATTTTTTTTCTTTGGCACAATTTATTTATATAGCGCCTAATTCAATCTTACTAATTAATCTATCAGTTTTCGTTGTTTCATACCGTGACCATAATTGTAATTTATAACTTATTGCTTACAACAACAATAACAATTCAGTAAGTCGTTGCTTATAATTAATCATAGTTTTACGACTAATTAGTAATTAGTAAGTGATTTCTTGTTCTTCTCTATGTGTTAATTCTATGCTTTTTCCAATCCATAGATCAATTAATTAGTACTTTTTTCCTCACTCATTTCTCATTCTCATTATATTAATTATATTTTCCTCTCCTTTTTCATTTTCCTTTTCTTTACTGTAATCATTACATTGATTTCTCTTCTTTAATAGTCTATGTCATTTCCAACAGTATACTCTCTTTTCCAAACTATTTGTCTGAGATGTAAATGTATGGAATTGTTTATTTGGGCCTCATTTTCCATTCAGCTAACACTTCTTATACAATATCGAATTAATCTATGCATTTATATTTTGTAGCATACAATATTAATAATAATTGCTGCACCAATTAATCATCACTTTCTTATAGTAGCAAGTATTGGTTATTGTTTTAGCAAAATAGCAAATTGTTTATTTATTAGTACAAATTATTGTAAATCGTAATAACGTATTCAGTTAATGTTTTACTTACGGTGATGAATTTATGTTTAACATATCAAATAAATAAAATATTCGACTAGTGAAGCAATAACCAGAACGATATTTCAACAACCGAAATCTACACCTGATATTGTGCTGTATTAGGCTTGAAATTTTGAATTCCACGAAGAAGCGGTGAAAGAATTTTTGAAATTTTTGAAAGGGTGGACTTATTTGATTGAAGTTTTGATGCGATGCTCTGATCACGTTTTTTCATTTAATCGTAGACTAATTTAATTGGTTAGAATTTAATTGAAATTTCGAAAATGGATGAAACATTATTTTCGACGTAATCAAGAAAAAAATAAAATTACTTTTGGAATGGATTTAGGTTAACATATCAGTTAACATATCATTTATATCATTTCTTTTTTATCATATACTACCTACTTAGCAAAACTTGCTTAGCAAGAATAGAACGGACTGAATTTAAACTTTTGTTATTTAGTATAATGTTTTATATTAATTGATATATTATTCTAAGAATCTTTTTGTCATTTTTGTGATATATATAAGAAAGATTCTTAGGATGATTTTTTTTTTGTAATATATCATTCTAAGAATCATTGTTACCGCGATGATTTGTCCTTACATCTTTAATATCACAAAAAAATGCTTTCTAGCAAAAATGAAAAAAAAGTTATTGGTGTAGAAATATCGGCTAATTATTTTTTGAAAGGGTTATATTTTAAATTATATGTGACATTTTTCAGCGTTCCGAAATTGATCTAATTATAGTTTGTGCGGATTTACTGAAGTTTTAAGTAATGACTAAGGAGAGTTTGTCACGCAGACGGTAAGTCCTACTTATTACTATCCCCGTAGTTTCAACATAATTTTGGCATTCTAAATTTACAAATATTCCAGTTTTAAAACTTGTGATTTCTGATTTGGAGTTTAGGGTTTCGGTCAACTTTTCGACGGCCGAAGCGGTTTCTTCTATTCGTGATACCATTGATCGGTTGAATCAATTATGGGATCGGATAAACATGGAGGAATGCATGAGGTGCAAACGTATCGAGAAGTTCTTTCTGTACATTTCCGACCTTCTGAATCAGATGGTTTGTTTTTTTAGTTTTTTTGAAATTCTACTCTTTAATGCTTAATGTCCATTGTCAGATTGAGCTATAAATATTCTCCAATCACAAGTGTAAGCAAACACTTGGTGGCAGGCTAGACCAAATAGATATACAGAATTCTGTGAATGTAAATCTTAACATTTGGCCTCTACGAAATAAATCAATGACTTTTTTAGGAATCCGGAAAGTCCTGCAAAATATCTTGTGCTCAACGACCTAGTAGTCAAGTTCTTTGCAAGTTAATTCCTTGTAAATTTCCTATTTTATAAACTCCAGGTAGCTGATGAGGAAGAAATGGTTGAAGGAATACAGGAAGGTATCGAGGAGATGAATAAGCAAATAGAAGATCTGTGCAAAGAACTTCATTTACCGCTAATTGTTAGGACTCACATGAAACCAGGCTCACTCGCATTGGTAAATTGCATTGCATTTCCAATAAATCGCCTGTAAACGTGCATCTGTTTTAAAATATGATGAATTGTTTTTTGTATTCATTTAAGCTTAAGCAACTGTTTGAATTTCATTATTATGGTATCAAAACATGCATTTGAATTGGCACCCAGAAATTTTTTTAAATTATTTGTCATGTTTTAGTACCGAGCACTGCATCAGGATGCAGGACGACTGCAGAGTTTAAAAAATGATAGGTTGCAAGGGCAGAAAAAGTTAGTCGAGGAACTTGCAAAACTTGCGGTGCAAACTGGTGAAGAAATTGAAGACCTTCCATCGAGTACAGCTGTATGTAGGCTGTCAAAACTTTCCGTTTATAATCTTTGATGCAGTAGATTTTCTTTAACGTTAAGCGAAAATTTGTGGTAAAGATGTAAAATCTGGAGAATGTTAAAATGCTCATAAAATAAGATCCGTTTTTACTTTTATTATATCTATTAAAATTAGCACTGTTTTAATTTCACTAACTTTTATTTTTGATAAATATGCTAAATCTGCGCTATCCAGTAATCAAACACTGCATAAGTTGTTAGGTTTCTGATGATGCAACAATTGCTCGCCTTCAAGATCGTGTCTCTCATTTGAATGAATTACTTACTGGACGCATGGAGAAATGTAAGCAGTGGCAGATGGATATGAAGCGTTGGTACAAGCAAATGGGCAGTACTCCCTCGAAGGAATTAGGCAAAACATTCATCTCTCTAGATTTGGATAGTGATGAACTGGTTTGGGACAAGCATTTCCTGGATGAATTTGAAAGTGCTTTTGATGAGGTATTTTTCCATTGAAAATTGTTGCATGGATCTGTATAGCCTTAAGATATTCGTCAAGGGTTTTTTCGCTTTTTTGCTTACGTCTGTAAAATAGTGTTTCAGTGTTTCCTATAGCATTTATTAATTTAGGTTAAAGCGGAATACAATGAATGGATTGAGCAAGCTTGTTTTGATTATACAGAGACACTGTTAAGACTTAACGAATTATGGGATTTATGCCATGTTCCAGATGTAGAACGAAATATTGCACGAGAATTTAATCCATGTAAATATTTACACTTGTTTAAACTATAAACTGCGATTCTAATGCAGTGAGATGATGAGCCAAGAACTTAATGAAATATTATTATAAAACACAATTTTTTAATAGACTTGGAAGTAAAGGGTGAATTTTAAAGTCGTAACATCGATAAATAACATTACTTGCAGCTATTCACACTGTACATGATATTCAACAAGCAAAGGAGCAAGTGGAATCGTTAGAAAAATTTCTTGCTGATCGAGCAGAAGTATACAAAAAAATGAAAGAATGGAAAGATCTTTGGAACGAAAAAGTTGAGTTTGAACGTCGCGCAAACGAGAAATCACGTTACCACAATCGTGGTTGCGAACTGCAAACAGCTTTGAAGGTATGTGTCAGATGTTAGTAAGGGTAAAATTTTTTGAATTGTTATCATCCTATCAATTAGTGATAAATAGTTTCTGATAGCTGCGTGCTGGATAGAAATATCTTTCTATTATTCTTGTTAATTGCTGCCAATTGTCATGTTATCTTTTTTATAATTTTTCGCATTTAAGATTGTGAAATTAGATAGTAATGTATGTCACTAGTACTACATTGTTATAAGCTTGTCTTATCTAAATGTACTGCTCTGCGTTTTTTTGTTACTTTAGAATTCCACTTTTTTGAATATTAGGAACCAGGAAAAGTTTTTAGAATAAGTTAAGCTCGAGTTAGTTGATTATGACTCTTACATGCACGTTTTTACCGACTCATTTCGGATGTATTTCTGATTTGTATCCTCCATTTTCGTTGCCTTTAAATTCAGCGACAAAAATTCATTGTAAATCGACTTCCAACCATACAAAGCGAGTTGAAAGAGGAAGTGGAGAAGTATGAATCAACTCATGATAATCAGATCCTGATGGACGGCTTATCACCCTGCGAACACATTGAATCCATAATGGAAGAGTACCGAATAAATAAGGAGCTTGAGCGTAAACGAAAGGTTTGTAAATCTCTTATTTCAGTTTCCATTCTCGCTTGCTGATTTATGCTTTAATTGCAAGTTGCATTCCTCAAATAATGCAGAAAAAGATAGTTTTCGAGTTGCTTAACTATCAGTTAATTTAATTACTGGCCTACGATTACTGATTGTTTGGAATTCAACACTTCCTTATTACCCTATCTTCTGCATACTTGTAGTTTCAAAACAAAAAGGTCGTTTTATATTACAGAAACAAATGGAGGTATCCACAGGTAGCGTTTCGAGTACATCAAATATGATTACTCCAAAGAAGCGTGGTGCTCCGTCAACCTTCGCCACTCCTTGTTCTTCAGCCAAAGTAGCGAAAGTAAAACCGCTTACACAATTTGATCAGGCATCAAAGGTTAATTTAGTTTTAATTGAGCACTAGAAATAATGTTCTATCTGTTGTTGAAGTTGTTTAACGTTTTCTCAAAATTGGATAAGTGTAATTCTTTACCATAGTTACCGTGATGAAGTGAAATCATATCACTTCAGAATACATTCTTATCTTCCTTCGTTTATTTAGACTCCAGGCACACTGCTGTCACACATGAAATCTGTTTCTTCAAGTACAGTAAGTCTTCATTCCGTGATCACTCCTGTTCGGCCACCAACGGTAGGCATTTTTTTCTCTTTTGCCTTTCAATTTTTTACTTTTTCTAGTTTTTTTTTTATTTTCACCATTTCTCGACATTCTGTTCAGTCGGTTTAGTATATAATTGTTTGATTTCATTCTAATTCTATGACTCTGACTCTGTTCCAGGCAATGAGGAAAGCATTTTATTTTTTATTCAAATTGCATTAAAAGATATTTGAAGCATAGAAAGTTTCAGACCGGCCCGAAAACTTCATCGCCATTAAGATCAACTGATAAAGGTATGAAAAAACCGTTAAAACGGATTAATCTTCCGCCGATATATAAAACACCGAAAAAATAGGAAATAACGTTTGAGTTGAAGGGTAATGAATTGTTATGCTTTTGTTTTCTGAAAATTGTTGAGATTGCATTAATTTTATCACCAATATTTCAAGTTGTGCCGTAACAAAAGCTGATGTCAAATTTGCTAGTGAAGATTTTCTTGATGTTTTAAACTTCATCTTGTGTATTTGACAGTAATGTTCATATCCTGTTATGGTTTTTATTTGGGAGCGATGTAACGGAAGTTCCTGAAAACATTATTACTGCCTACAATAATCTCGGCAGAATATTTGTAGAATTTTAGAGATCGGAAAATCACCAAAAGCTGATTTAATTCTAAATCATTGCTTGATCAGAAAGCGTCGCAGTGGTAGTCGTTAAGGTGCCTTGTGATTGATTTTATTGCTTATTGCAAAATTTTGTCAATTCGACAGCTATGCCATGATTTGGGTATTTTGCATTGCTTCGGTCGTTGTATAGTTCCATTCTTAGCATTTTCAATGTGTTACCGTTCTAAATTGGCGAAATTTTCGTTAATTTCTTGCTATGTTTTTATTCAGATTATTGCTACTTCTCCTGTAATATTGTCTTTCAAAATAAAAAAATCAGTTAGAACGAATTGCTTGCACTATTATAGGTAGCTATTCTATTATAGGTAGCTATTCTCACGTTGTAGATTTCTGAAGCATTGCAAACTAAAGCCGTTTTCCTTTCATACGTTACTTCACCTTCTAAATATTCAGGGAACATGTGCTTCTACAAGTAGTTTTGCTCTGTACTAATGTTATTTTCTTGTAAATTAAGATGCCGGCAACAACAATACAAATTCAAATAAAGCTGAGGTTCAAAGCAACCAAGGTAGGAAATTGACACTGGAATCAGCAGTGGTTTATAGCATCCCTGCATTTGTTAGTTGTCGTGATGTGCTACGAAATGTGTGTTGCAATGGTGTAGCGGAAGTGAGGGGGGTGGTGTATATGTGTCTCACTTGCCTCTATATCTTGCTCATAGCTGCATGCAAGAAACAACTATGTGGTGAACTCTGTTTGCTCGCCCGAAGCTCAACGATCCTTCGTAGTTCGTAACGTGGGGTGTGATGATTCGAGTTTTGCCATAATGGCATGACGTGCTGCGGAGTGCGCGTTGTACCTACTGACCCCACTGATTGAGTAGATGGACCGGGTGATATTGGGCTGGCTAATCCCATTGAGACGGTGAGTGGATGGGATTGATGGGTTTTGTACTGGCTACTCCCACTGGGAACGTTCTATAATGGCATGACGTGCTACAGAGTGCGCGTTGTGCTTGCTGACCCCACTGGTTCAGTGGATGAACCAGGTGGGTGTTGGGCTAGCTAATTCCATTGGCGTGGTAGGTTTTGTACTGAGTACGCCTGATGAAAACAGTGAGTGGACACACATATGGTGGTTGCTTGGATTCCGTTCGGTCATTGCATTTAATAGAAGATTCCATCTTTGTTTTAGTCAGCGCTGCTAATTCATTTCTTCAAAATTTTCTTTAGCGATATATCTGGTGTTGGAACACAACTCAGAAGTACTTATTCGGAAATTCCAAGCTCGTGTCAAACAGATGGCGTTATAATCACTCGTCAGTTTTCATCCGTCGTAATGGATCCGCCAAATTTGTCGCAGGTTTCATTAAGTAATGACGCAATTGGGCAACAAGGAACAATAAAAAGGGACACCGAGACTGCAGCAACCAATTCCAATAGAAATTCATTACCATTGCTGCCAAGTCGATGTTTGAACCCTCAATTTGCATTATAGCCCATTTCTTCTGAGTCAAAAGCATTTTTTTAAATTGTCGTATGGTGTGTGATATGAGAATTTCTCATACTTTTTCATCCTCTATTATGACCCAGTCATCTTCTGCTAACA